ATATATGACAATTAAGGAATCTTAATATATCTGGTAATTGTCGTTATCGTCAGCCCAGTTCTTCTCTCCGGGCTCACTGACTCCTGCTCCGCCTGCTCTGAACTCCTCTCACGCGGCTCCGTCGTCGCTCTTCCACGGTCACTCCGTGCGTTAACGGCTGTGTGCCAAACACGGAGTCTGCGTGCTTTTGTGCCGAGATTGAAAGGAGAAAAAAAAAAACTGAATCTGTTTTTTCAATTGGTTTGACTCAATGAAACGGGATTTTCTTTCTTTCTTCTTCTATTCTTTTGGAGGAGAACTTGGCTGCAGCCGCCACGCACACGCGGTCCGAGCGGGAGTTTATTAATGGAGAGCTTCTTTTTTTTATTGAAGGAGGACACGCTTTAATGAGCTTTTTTTAATATAACAAAAAGCCCCCAGTGAGTGTGTGCCGGTGTCCCCTCCGCTTTTATAGCCCTCCGCGCAGCCAATACGAATCCACTTTGGCCCCGAAAGAAGAAGACGGCAAACCGGGAGGCGGAGGGAGCAGCAGGTGACTGGCACGCGTAAAGACAAGAGGAGAAAGAGTTCGGTGGCTGATCTGAGAATGGAGAGGAGGTGAAAGCACAGAGTGGGAGAGGGTCGGGGGGTGGGGTGGTGGGAATGAGCCCAAATGGCGCACTAATATTGTTCCGCTAACGTGATTAGGCGCTGAACCACGACCTCATTAGTATTCATGCGGGTCGGACAGACGCTAATAATCCCTTCTTTAAAAGGCTCTTTAAAAATCATCAGCTGCCAGGGAATCAAACCCCAAACCTGCTTATTGACGGTATTCAAGGTCTTTATATTTAACAGCTTTCTCACCGCCGTTTATTTACATCATCATCGTTGTCAAAATACACTTTAAACTGCTTCGTAATGACAGTCTAAGGACATCAATGCTGCAGATTTATATTCATGCGATATCGGTTATCGGCTAATTTATTGTTATTTATTTATTTATTTGTCTAGTTCTTCAGAGATTTTGCAGTATTTCTGTCTGGTGTTTAATCGGCTAATAACAACAAACAGGTGCTATGGATCTTAGTTTGATATAAATATAAACACGCTCAGGATTTCAACCAGCAACAGTTGTGCAGGAAATGTCAAAGGTTATGATAAAAAAGACTGAGCTTCAGGAAATAACAAAAAAAAAATCGATATTTCAGGACGAACTCTTAGCAAATCAAGTCTGTTTTGGACGCAGAGAAAAGATGACAAACAACAAGAGCTAAACACGTACGACTTAGCGACACAACGGAAGTCTAACAGATGATTTCTGACATTTGTCTAGTAACGGAACCACAAGTGAAAATCTGAAATTGTCAAAGTCTACTCCTCTGTGATCCAGTGTCCGGAGCAGGATGGTTTTTGACCAGATTTGGCTTTTTTAGCGTTCAAATGTACGCAGTCAAAATTAAACTCGTACTGTATTGTTTTGAAAAAAAAAGCAGACTCTAATGATGGGCTGGAAAGAAGAAAGTTTACGAAGAGAATTCGAGTAGGGATGTCCCATAATATACGGGCGTATTATCGGACATCCCTACCAAATATTAGCATAATGAAAAACCCCATAGTGCAATGCCTGGTTTTTGTCCAAATGATGTGTGACCTAAAAATAGTTTTTATCACTATCACTAGTTTTTATCACTTTATCACTTAATTAATTTCATAATCATACATACGGATAAATAAATTAATATTACCAGGCCTGTATCGGTATCGATTGACAATTTTGGAATCGGACAATATCGGCAAAAGTTAATATCGGACATCCCTAGTTTTTGGGAATGTGACGTAACACCAGGCCGGTAGCAGGTGGGAACCCGCTAAACATTTGAGTCCAGGCTGCGGTGGTACGAACCGCCAGTACGGATTGCATCTGAACATCGTGAGGTGTATCTGGGCGTAGCAGGTGTGACAACAGAGGAAACACCAGGGGGCAGTTGGTGTGAATCTGCCCGTTACCTCAAGCATAAATAGCAGCATCGTCCACATACACGCAAACACACGGCTGATAAATGTTTTCCAAAAAAAAAAAGTGAACAAAGTCAGACACCAGCAGGACCGAAGTCATACCATGAGACGATGTCGGACGTTGGTCGCGACGGTCCAGCTGTCCACGCAGTTCGGTCAAGCACTGTGGTTGATTTAGCGAGACAGACAGAAAGTTTATTGCCCACTGTTGGTCCCCGAGCTTCACTGGAAACATTTGGACTCAATCCCGATCACCATTACTTTAATGTTTAATCAGGGCTCACACACACACACACACATTTCAACTGTACTTACCAAGCTCTTTCCTGTACTTTATGACCACCAGCACTCTGAACTACACCACAACACACACACAACAGACACACACACATGGCACGCACTCTGCCAGTAATCGTGGAGCCTTCAGTTATTGTTCGCCATCAGTCATTATCTTAATCCATTATTTCTCCCTCATCCACTTATTCTCTCTCTCTCTCTCTCTCTCTCTCTCTCTCTCTCTCTTTCTCTCCTCATCCACCTTCCTCTATGTCAAACTCTTTTCTCCTCTGCTAAAATCCGTTTCTGTTGTCTTCATATTTTCGCTTATTTTTTTCGCTTATTTTTATTTTCTTTGCTTTAATTGTCTCGGATAAAAACAATATGAAAAAAAATCGGAAACTTAGGAAGGTCCTTGGACAGTCTGGTTCGACCGTCATTGAATGTTCGGTTGTAAATTGGGACCAAAAAATATATATATATATAAAATTAACCCTTGTGTAATGTTCATATTGTTGTTACTCAGCCAGCGTTTGTGGGTCTGATGGACCCGTTGCATTTTGTGGCTTTTGATGCCTCACAATCAACACTTTTATGTTAAAATACTGAACAGATGTTTACCTTATCCCAATTACAAGCAGTATAAACAATATATAT